CGCTGCCAAAAGATAAGATTGTCTGTGCAACCATATGACTTCTGACACGGAGGCAGGGAGCATTGTGAAACTTGGATAGAAAGAATTCAGCCAGCAAATAAACACACATTCACTTTAGCCAGGAGGTGGAATGGGGACACGGCTGAGAGTCTATGAAGAGGTCTAGAGTAATAGTTTTTGAAGCATTACTTATCTAGGGCTAGGCGTCAGACTTCATTTAGTTTGTATGCAGTGATTACTTGCAGTCTACATGCGGAAAGCCAGTTTATCAAATGAGGCGCAGGACTACCAATGGAGGCTTCTTAATAGACCCAGACAACTGCCCTGGCCTCACCCTGCCTGATGGGACACAGAGCCTTACCATCTGGGACTAGGCTTGGGGACGCACTGAGGCCAGTTGGAGAATTAGAAAAGGAGTCAGCCGTGAGTACGTGTCCGAGCTACCAAGAAATGATCTAAAAAATGACAATAAAGCTGCACATTGGGAGTTGGGAGAGATGTTTTACTGAAGGGCAGTCTGGAGACGGGCATTGGTTTCCAGGTGCTCACATGCACTTCCTCTCGCTGAGGGGACCCTAGAGTCTCCTGCTATCTGCTCTGGGTCCCAGCTGGTCTAGACCTTGCCAGGCACACCTCTGCCAGGTGAGGCAGGCTCGGGGGAGGAGGCCTTTGCTTTGTTAATTTTGCAGAAAAGCAGGGACTTGGATGACAATTTCTTTGATCTAATGACAAGCTCTTTCCTCTACTATTAGTGTCCCGAAGCGCAAATTCTAAAACCAAGGCCATTTGATAAAGCCTGGGGAGTTTACCGCGAGGCAGATGGACACAGCAGCAGCACATACGAGCATGCACGTGGGGCTCCAGTCCCGCACGGGTGGCACTTTTCTCAGCAGAGGGCAGCAACACTGGCTTTGCTGGGGCAGCCCTCCCAGGAAGATCCTATAAGAGATGGTCTGAGGTGTCTGAACACTGTGAATGTCATGGACAAAGCTCAGCGTAGGATGCCGCGGGACTTCAGGTTATTAAGATGTAAATGTTGGCCAAAAGCTTATGTGTGAATTTTATTTTTAAGTTGTGACTTCCTTCCTCTCTGCCTGGGCCAAGCACAAGCTGGAAGAGGGAGAGTCGGTATCACTAAGGTTTCTGGGTGTGTTCTTGAGTTAAGAGAAATCTGACACTACTGAGAAGTAACTGACACAGGCTTTCCCCCAAAGGCAGAGTGTCAGGCACTGGCCCTGACCAATCCCATTGGGAGCTTAAGACTCCAGAACATGGGAGAAGGTCGTTTCTGAAGGTCATTTCTGCAACAGCGTTAGCTGTTCCACAGCTGAAAGAGGAACTAAAATGGAAGACAGGGAAGCAACATTGTGAAAATGCCTATGGCAGCCACTAAGAGTTACAAAACAGAGAAATTATCACTGGGGGTTGGGGCCGGGCGCTGTGGCTCACGCCTGTAATCCCAACACTTTGGGAGGCCGAGGTGGGTGGATCATCTTGAGCTCAGGAGTTTGAGACCAGCCTGACGAACATGCAGAAACCCTGTTTCTACTAAAAATACAAAATTAGATGAGTGTGGTGGCCCATACCTATATTCCCAGCTACTTGGGAGGCTGAGGCAGGAGAATCACTTGAACCTGGGAGACGGAGATTGCAGCGAGCAGAGATTGCGCCATTGCACTCCAGCCTGGGCAACAAGAGCGAAACTCCGTTTCAAAAAAACCCTAAAAAACAACAACAACAAGAAAAAAAAACAAAAAGAAAGAAATTATCAATGGGGATGCATGTTTTCAAACTCTTATTGGATGCCCTGTATGCACCTGTTGTAAAGTGGAGAAATCACACCAGCACCAGCACTGCTTTCCTGATCACCTGTTGAAAACGTAATGGATATGAAATACCAAAAACAGCATTAAATTCCCCACCAAGAGGACATCTCTTGGTGTCAGCAACTTCCCAGTAGCGGGTTTTCACAAAATTGTGTTTAAAAACATTTTTTTCTATAGGCGATATTCACCTAGAATGAAAAACTTGGCTGGAATAGCTTATTTTACGATCTTAGATTCTCTCTGTGTTGGTATCTCCCCCCATTTCTGAGCTCTGTTTGGTGTAAATGTGTACTGATCTGATCACTGAGCTTTTTCACAGAACTAGGCTAAGAGGACAAAATGTTGAGTTAGAAAAAGTTTTCAGCCAGCAATTTCCCAATAGTACATGATTTCCCTTTTTTGTCTTCTTTTTCATCTTCAGAGGAAAGCAGGGTGCGTTCTGGAGTGAGAACATGAATATAAGTTGTAGGCAGGAAATACTGTTTCATGACACCAAATTAATTTAAAAGAAAGTGACTTTAGAAAATGGTCATCTATTGACTGGGCGCAGTGGCTTATGCCTGTAATCCCAGCACTCTGGGAGGACAAGGCGGGTGGATCACGAGGTCAGGAGTTTGAGACCAGCCTGGCCAACATGGTGAAACCTTGTCTCTACTAAAAATACAAAAAATTAGTCGGGTGTGGTGGTGGGCACCTGTAATCCCAGCCACTCCGGAAGCTGAGGCAGGAGAATCACTTGAACATGTAAGGTGGAGGTTGCAGTGAGTCGAGATTGCACCACTGCACTCCGGCCTGGGTGACACAGTGAGACTATATCTCAGAAAAAAATAAAATAAAAAAGATAATGGTCATGTATTTATAGTCTACTTCTTAACGTTTTGTTTGATGTCACTAACTTCTTAATGCTTTCTAGTTACTTAAAATGTTGCTCACAAATCCCAATGTAAGCCCATGAAATTGACCTCAGTGGTTACACTTTTTCTAAAACCCTAGGGATTTTGTTTTAAAAGGTTAATGTGTTTTTTCAATTAGTTGGAAGATGATTATAGACCCTCCCCTGAGTGTAAGTGATGTAACGGGTCTTCGGGGTTACCAGTTAAAGAGTAGGCTCTGGCCCTGACCTCTGTATTGACAACCTCCTGAGAAGGTTGGTTTTGCTTGTGCTGAAAGGAGCTTGCTACATGGGGTCCCACAGGTTTGGGTGGGAGCAGTAGGAGTGGCAGTAAGGGGGCCCATGTGGGCCCAGAAACATTTGGCTGGGACCTCACATTCAAACTTATACTGAGCTCTGGGGGAAAAAATGAAAGTGGCTCAAGCCTCTCTTAACCCCTGGGAGACACTGGCAGGGAAGAGGCCACAACAGGGAAGAGCAAGACAGCTGTGATGAGTGCACAGTCACCCCAGTCTCCAGGGCTCTCCTGTTTCCTCACACTGTGTCCAAACCAATCATCCGGCTCTTGGCCTGTTCTGCCCAGCCCTCTTCCTGATCTTTGATGCTTACATCTCAACTCCCAAAATAGACCAGGAAGCTGCTGATGCCACAGAAAGATCTGGCTTTGGAATAAGTAAGTCCCGGTTCAAACCCCCTACCTGCACACATTTATAACCTTCGACTTTATGTTCCTAACCTGTAAAATGGGAACACCAGGACCTATGATTCAGGGTGCTGGGAAAGTCTAAAGTAGGTAACATATGTCAGATACATAATGCAATGCCTGGCACATGACAGCTGATCAGTGAAGGTTACTTGTCCCTCCCGCTTGCCCTAGGAGGAGCTAGTGCCGGGATTTGCCTTAGGGGCATGTGGATGTTGGAGACAGGGCATCGAGTCCTGGCTAAGTGGCTTGCCAGACACAAGATCATCTGTTTTCCTGTTTCTAAACAGGAGATAAGGTTATAAAGTTACTGTCAGGATTAAAATGAAAAGTGATAGAGCATGCCTGTCCCATCACAGGAACTTGATAAATGTTGATTTCCGTCTTTAAACTTCTTTGAAATACGCCATCCCCATCCCTGTGATGGCCTCACAGGCAGCTGCATCTCTTGAACTCTCTCCTGGACCAGTGACCACCTCTGCATCTTTCCCTACCTCTGCCTCATGCATCTGTCACTGCCATGGGAGGGGCCTACGAGTCACTGGATGACTCGGCCAGGTGCAGAGGCAGACAGGAGGCTCCATGGCAAGGCTGTGAGACTGTCCCTTGCAAAACAAGCCTCCCTATACTTTCTGTCTTTATGCCAACCCTCGTTGTTTTGTCCCCTGATTTTACCTGATAAATCAATTCTGGGATAGGAACAAAGTTTCCTCCCGAGCTCTGACCATGCCTCATTTGTCAGAGTGGTTCTGAGCTGTCACATCCTCCCAATCACCCCTTCCCCAGGGCTGTTCTTGGAGACAGCAGCATGATTTGAGCCCATGAAGGAACAATCACGCTCAATAAACCTAAGAGAAAATCTAAGAATAATCTAATGTTCTCAGTGCTCAGGTCTAAAGAGGAAGTGACCTCATTTCATAAGGGACAGTCATTGCTGGTTTAATAAAATAGCCTTTTGCATTATCACAGATGTAGCAGACTACATGTGTAATCATAGATAAAATAAAAAATTGTGGATAATTTTGAAGAAAAAACCAGGAGCATCTTTTGAGATTATTTCAGGGAATACAAGGAATTTAAGTATCCCTTTGCATAAGATGCCCCATACAATATATACAACCCATCAACCCATCAGGTGTTTAATGAAGCACTTTCAAGTGGGTAAGAGGCAGGACACTAGAAAGATTCCAAGGGTATTCTGCAAAGTGGAGTGTGAAACGCAAAGTTTTTTTTGTTTTTGCCAGAATTTACACATCTGATGCCAAACCCAAGGAGGAAAGGGGTAAATGGCCAGAAGGAAGAGGGATTTGATTGTCAGATGGTTAAACGTGGTGTGACAGTATTCCATTAAGAATTTTGACACGTTCAACGTACATTCGCTTTGCTTCAAAGGGACCCAAACGGAAAGCATCTGGAGATGCGCACACTATGTGAAACGTCTGCATTTCACACGGTGCTGCCTATTTGCCTGTTGCCTCTCAACACCACCCCACTCTCCCTGCCCTTCTTTGTAGGAGCTGGAAGCCTGCGAACTACATTTCCCAGAATCCCCAGCCGGCTCATTTCCCAATAGCCTCTGCCAATGGGAGACACTGGTGGGAGCTTGGAAGGAGGGTAGAAGGGAGAAGGAAGCTCTTTTATTTCTCCTTCTGTTGAAGTCTCTGGCAGTGGCAGCATAGCAACGACAGTAGGTGACGAGTGAGTTTCTGTTCAGGTGAGTTTCAACAGCAGTGGGGGCAGGGGGTGCTCTTGCCGCCTCTGCAGCAGGGCCTTCCTGGGCCCTGGATCCCGCAGCGCCAGCGTCCGTGACAGGCAGCCCTTGGTGGGAGTTTAGCTTCCCGGCTTCCTGAAAGATTTCCAGGAGCAGTGGGTGTCGCAGCAGCCTCAGCCCCAGAGCAGTCACCGACCCCGTCTGGATCACAGCATTCTTCCTTTTGCTCAGCCAGCCTTAGGATGGTGGTGGCTTCCTGCAGTGACGAATCTCCGTGTGATCCCAGCTTCCCGCCTTCATTCTTCTCCAGCCCTTCAGCACATTTGCAGACCGTTTCCTACGTTAACTTTCTTCTACTTGAAATTCCCGGTTTCTGGTCTGCTGACTGGACACTGGGCAGTATACACATTGATAAACACAAATTTTAAGGCAAATCAAATACAATCTCATTTTGTTTAATTCCTTACCCCAGTTGCATTTGTGGACTTCTAAGGGGAAAGAATAAGCAAGTCTTTCTCCCAAAAGTTTGACAACAAAACTCAGTTCCTTGTCATATACCCTGCAGCCTCCACCAAAGAGGTCACCATGACAAATACTCTTGAACAAGAGACTTTCTTTTAAGATATCCCTGTTCATAACCATAATGACATTAATAATAGGTGCCCTTTCAACAAATGTCTTTTATATATTAGGCATTTCAAGTATGTTATTTCATTTAATTATCAGTTATAATAATTATCTATCTACCTATCTATCTATCTTTAGACAGAGTCTTGCTCTGTCACTCAGGCTGCAGTGCAGTGGCAAGATCTCAGCTCACTGCAGACTTGAGTTCCCAGGCCCAAGTGATCCTCCCACCTCAACCTCCTGAGTACCCGGGACTATAAGCGTGTGCTACCACGCCCCGCTGAAATTTTTGTATTTTTTTGTAGAGATGGGGTTTCACTATATTGCCCAGGCTGGTCTTGAACTCCTAGGCAGAAGCGAGCCACCTGCCTCAGCCTCCCAAAGTGTTGGGATTTCAGGTGTGAGTCAGCGCACCCAGCCTAATTGGCTTGTATTGGCAATTCGTAAACTGGGCCCCACTTAGTCAATAAAACAGACAAGAGCTCCACTGAGAGTGACAGAATGGTAGGATTTTGTAAGGTAGTTTGAGCAGGAACAAGGAAACAGCATAGTACGAAAAGCATATTGGTTAATATCTGCTTACCTGGTTACTTCAGGTTATCTTGGTTACTTTAGGTTCCGTTCCTTGTGTAGATTAAAGCAGAGGGAACTTCCTTATCATGCCGATTTAGGTTGTCTGGACTTCTTTTGTTTTTTGGCAACCTGGCCTTCTTGGGATTTTCCTGCCTTGATTACATGGCACTTAACATGAGTGACTCCATTTTGGGTTGGCCTGTTGGGACCCAGTGCAGGAATTCAGTCCAAAACAATGGCCTCCCCCAAATTTTATTTAACAGTGGCTATGCACCCCTCCCCCCCTTTTTAGCACACGTTTTGCCATGTGACTAAGCCATCCTTTTTATCCGGTGCTACAGCCTATTTCTTTGCTCCCCAGAATTTCAGATGGTCTTGTGAATTACTCAGGCTTACAAAATGAGCCTGAAGAGACATGTGAGTTCCAGAGGCCAGACTCAAGAGGTCTGGTGAATTCTGCCTTCAGCCATTTGGAACATTGTCCTTTAAAGTCCCCGAAGTGAGCAGGTCTGGCCTGCATTGGAGGATGAGAAGCCAGAAGCAGAAGAAAGAAGATGCCCCAGCCAGCAGCCAGTACCACATTCCAGAGATGTGAGTATGACCGTCGTTGACCTTCTAGCCCAACTGCTTTTCCTGAATGCAGCTGCATGAGCAAGCCAGGCAAAACTAGAAGGGGAAGCTGCCCAGTTAACCCACAGAATTATGAGCGATAAGAAATCATTGTCTTGGAGGGAGCGGAGGAAAAAAAAAAAAGAAATAATTGTCTTAAGCCACTACATCTGTTATGCAGCAGTATATAGCATTCATTCAGCTTATGTCTCATGAGCACTCTCAATTCTTTTGTAAGTTCTTTTTTGGTTCGAGTTAGCTTAAATCGGTTTCTGATGCTTATGACCAAAGGCCCCTATGTAATAGATTTTGAGGGGTTAAGAAGCTTGCTCAGCTCACACAGCTGTAAGTAGCAGCACTTCGTCTTGAACCCACATCTGTCCCACTCACTTTCCACAGGTCCTTGTTGGTGCCCTCCCTCATCCCTTCTAGTCTAGCTTCCTTACTCATTTTAGCATCTGGAGATGACTGACCTTGTGTAATAGGTGCTTAGAAGAGGTAATAATCAAGCTGTGAACTGGAATACTGAGTTTGTCATCCAATAACCAGGTTGGCAGGTTGGTAACCATAGAAGGGACTTTCCAAACTGGAGAAATAGTGTGTTGAGCAGAAAGTGGTGAATATTTTGAGAGTAATTGAAATATAATTGACATGACAATAAAAAAGTGCATGTATTTCAAGTGTATGATTTGATAAGATTGGTTATATTATATACACCTATGAAACCATCACCACAAATAAGGTAGTGAGATAGTGAGCATAGCTGTCACACACGAAAGTTTCCTTGTGCCCCTTGCTAATTCCTCCCTCTCTCCTGCCCACATCTCTCCTTTTCCCAGGCAACCCCTGATCTGATTTCTGCTACTATCAAATCGTTTGCATTTCGTAGAATTTTATATAACTGACAACATACATTAAGAACTCTTTTTCTCTGGCTGAGCGCAGTGACTTATGCCTGTAATCCCAGCGCTTTGGGTGGCTGAGGCAGCAGGATCACCTGAGATCAGAAGTTCGAGACCAGTTTGGCCAACATGGTGAAACCCTGTCTCTACTAAAAATACAAAAATTTGCCAGGTGTTGTGGTGGGCACCTGTAATCCCAGCTACCTGGGAGGCTGAGAGGGGAGAATCACTTGAACCCGGGAGACAGAGGTTGTGCTGAGCTGCAATCATGCCATTGTACTTCAGCCTGAGTGACAGAGCAAGACTCTGTCTCCAAGAAAAAAAAGAGAATTCTTTTTCTCTAGCTTCTCCCACTTAGCATAATTATTTTGAGATTCAGCTGTGTTGCCCTGTGTACCAATAATTTATTTCTTTATATTGCCAAGGAGTATTCCATCGTATGTATATAACATTGTTTGTCCATTCAAGGACCATTGAAGGACGTTAGGTCTGTTTTCTGTTTTGGGTTATTAAAAACAAAGCTTCTGTGAACATTTATCTACAAGTCTTTGTGTGGCTGTAAGCTTCCATTTCTCTTAGGTAAATATCTGGGATCATAAAATAAGTATATATCTAAATTTTGAAGAAACTACCAAACTTTTACAAAATGGTTGTATTATTTTACATTCTCACCAGCAACGTATGAAGGTGTCAATTCCTTCACATTCTTGTCAAAACTTGGTGTGTTCAGTCTTTTTAACTTTGACCATCCTAAAAACAACTTTTGAAATTATGTTCTGTCACAAAAAGGACAGATGCTTATTGAACCCATATCAAATATTATATCGTCATGGATATGGTTTGGATCTGTGTCCCCACTCAAATCTCATATTCGGTTGTAATCTCCCAATGTTGGAGGTGAGGCTTGCGGGGAGGTGATTGGATTGTGGGGACAGCTTCTCATGAATGGTTTAGCACTGTCCCCTTGATGCTGCTGTTGTGGTCAGTGAGTTATTGTGAGATCTGGTTGTTTAAGTGCGTAGCACCTCTCCACTCTGTCTCTCTCTTCCTTCTGCTCTGGAGATATGACGCACCTCACTCCCTTTTGCCTTTCACCATGACCTGAAGTTTCCTGAGGTCTCCCGAGAAGCAGAAGCTGCCAGGCTTCCTGTACAGCCTGCAGAACTGTGAGCCAGTTAAACTTCTCTTTATAAATTACCCAGTCTCCGATGTTTCTTTATGGCAATCTGAGAACACACTAACACAACCACGAACATAAAAATACTCAGTAATAGTTTCTGAATTATGGAAGGATTGGTCAGGAAAAAAGATAAATGTTCCATTTTTATTATAGAAATATATCTACTAAATTGTTACATATTACAGCTAACTTAGGAGAAAAAGGGGTTCCTTACCTCCAGAAAATAGAACATTAAAGAACAAACAATGTTCCAAACAAAAAGCCATACAATTATAATCCTTCCTTAGTTGATTCAGTCCTACGTAATTAATTCTTGTTTTGCTTGCTCATGGGTTAGCAGTTTCATGAATCTGTCAGCTTCTCAACTAGAGTTCTGAAAATCCTCACTCAGTTCAGCAGCATGATATTAAAGTTACTTAGGCCATATCAAGGATTGGATGGGGGCCGGGGAGTTTGATGGGTAGAAAATTATTAAGAGAAGTAATTACCAAGAAAATATCAAGGGGAGGGGAATTCTTGCTAAACTGACTTTAACAGGATTCTTGCTGAAGGCAGACCAGAGTGATTAGAGGTCAAGGTTGGGGGATTCTCACTAAATTGGCTTAGCAGGATCCTTGCTAAAACTGAACTAGGCAGGCTGGAGTCCAAGGATGGGGCCCGTTAAAAAGAGGGCTGAGAGGGCCCTTCTAAAGTTTGGGCACTGAGGCTGTCTTTGTCGAGGACCCTCCATATGTAGCATTTATGATGGTATTTTGGCTGGCATACATAGAGTTAATATTTTTTGCCTTTTATAGCAAATCAAAGAAGAGCAGAGCATTTAAGAGCTATCAAGATATCATGCTGGCCTTGGAACTGACAGCTTGAAACAAAAAAATAAAAAATGTTCTGCTTAATTCCCCTGATAAGCCCTTAAAAGAACTGAACTCTAACCCTGGTAACCGTCACCTACTTCATAAGTAGGAAACGGTTGGATGGAAATCACAGGCAAGAAGAGAAGGCCATAACTGTTTGAAGATGGGCAGATTCTGACAAAGGCTCCAGTCCAGAAGGGCAGGAAAGAGACAGGACTTTCCTAAGCCTTGAGCCTAGGCACAGGCCTGGGTCCCCAGTCTGGACTCTGGCAAGAAACAGTCAAAGATCCTAACAAAAATGTTATACTGTCTCAATTCATGTTTTAAAATGTCAGCATAGGTAGTGGTGTCTGTCTCTGGGTTTTTTTTTTTTTTTTTTTTTTTTAGACAGAGTCTCGCTCTATTGCCAGGCTGGAGTGCAGTGATGCAATCCCGGCTCACTGCAACTTCCGGTTTCCAGTTTCAAGCAATTCTCCTGCCTCAGCCTTCCGAGTAGCTAGGATTACAGACATGCACCACCATGCCTGGCTAATTTTGTATTTTTAGTAGAGACAGGGTTTCTGCATGTTGGTTGGGCTGGTCTCAAACTCCTGACCTCAGGTGATCCTTCCGCCTCAGCCTCCCAAAGTGCTGGGCTTACAGGCATGAGCCACTGTGCCCGGCCCGAAAGACTATTAAGAAGTTCCTAACACCATAAAAACCCTAGAAGAAAATCTAGGCAAAACCATTCAGGACATAGGCATAGGCAAGGACTTCATGAGCAAAACACCAAAAGCATTGGTAACAAAAGCCAAAATAGACAAATGGGACCTAATCAAACTCCGCAGCTTCTGCACAGCAAAAGAAACAGTCATTAGAGTGAATCGGCAACCAACAGAATGGGAAAAAATTTTTGCAGTTTACCCATCTGACAAAGGGCTGATATCCAGATTTTACAAAGAACTAAAACAGATTTACAAGAAGAAAACAAACAAGCCCATTCAAAAGTGGCGAAGGACATGAACAGACATTTTACAAAAGAAGACATACATGAGGCCAACAAACATATGAAAAAATGCTCATCATCACTGGTCATTAAAGAAGTGCAAATCAAAACCACATTGAGATACCATCTCACGCCAGTTAGAATGGCGATCATTAAAAAATCTGGAGACAACAGATGCTGGAGAGGATGTGGAGAAATAGGAACACTTTTGCACTGTTGGTGGGAGTGTAAATTAGTTCAACCATTGTGGAAGACAGTGTGGCGATTCCTCAAGGACCTAGAAATAGAAACTCTATTTGCCCCAGCAATCCCATTACTGGGTATATATCCAAAGGATTATAAATCGTTCTACTATAAGGACACATGCACACGAATGTTCATTGCAGCACAGTTTACAATAGCAAAGACCTGGAACCAACCCAAAGGCCCATCAATGATAGACTGGGAAAATGTGGCACATATACACCATGGAATATTATGCAGCCATCAAAAACGATGAGTTCATGTCCTTTGTAGGGACATGGATGAACCTGGAAACCATCATTCTCAGCAAACTGACACAGGAACCAAAAATCAAACACCACATGTTCTCACTCATAGGTGGGTGTTGAGCAATGAGAACACATGGACACAGGGAGGGGAGCATCACACACTGGGGTCTGTTGGGGAGAAATAGGGGAGGGACGGTGGGGGGTGGGGAGTTGGGGAGAGATAGCATGGGGAGAAATGCCAGATATAGGTGATGGGGAGGAAGGCAGCAAATCACACTGCCATGTGTGTACCTAGGCAACAATCTTGCATGTTCTTCACATGTACCCCCAAACCTAAGATGCAAGTAAAAAAAAAAAAGAAGCCCCTGCTCTAGAGTCAGCTGTAAGAACTTCCACTGCTCCCAAAGGGCACCAACAGCTCTGCTATCTGGCATAATGGACTTTAGAAGTAATTTTCACTGGTGAAGCACGAGCTGTTCCAACTGTTATGGACTGACCAGAAGCACTGTATCAGATTGTATCTCCTTGTAGGGACGGGGTATTACGACCTAGGAAGCCTCATGGGTAACGTATGCCCTTTCAGATGTTGTCTCTGATTCAGGATTTGAATCAGGACTTGTATCCGCAGCTCATACAAAGGTTCCTGCACCTGACCCTGACTAGACTCGAAGCTAAATCGTGCTGTTCAAATACTGTCGTGTCTGCCTTAAGTGACCTGTTATGCAAGGCTCCTGTCAGTGTGCCAGCGGAGCGAAGCCCCAGTACTTGGTTGAGTTTACAGAACTGGTTGTACCACGTTTTTGAGCCTGCTGGCTTCTAAATGTTTATTTTATGGCTGCATTCAGCCTGAGACTTGCTTTCATTGTAACATAGCATCTGGTAATGAAGTTAAGGAGACCTGTGGCCCTCACCTACCTCTATTACGGGCCCACGTACAAGTGTTTGTGTTTCTCAGTTTAGGGAGGTTTTCAGAAGCCCTGAGGCTGGAGTAAAGCTGGGTTAAGGACTCTTGTTGTAGTAGAAATGTTCTTTACTATCTTTTATGACCCTTTGTATTGCTGCATATTGGTTCTTCACCATTAATAATAAACCGCCTTAGTTCTTTTCTTAGAAGGACATTGAACACTAACTGTATGGCATTGAGCTAGGGATGAATGAAAATGGAGCTCCCTGCAACTCCAGGAACCATTTTCAAAATGTGTCTGACTGTGTTTATATGGTAACGTTCACCTGAGTAACACCTAAGGTGGGGCTGAAATTCTTGCAGTCAACAAGACCCCCAAGGCTACAATTTCTACCTAGCCTGACTGCAAGCTGTTTTTCTTTAGTTTCAAAAAGCATAGAAAACCTCCTCCATTCCAGCTGATTTTTGCATTGAGGCTGGTTTGTCAATTGTGTGTTCTTTCGCTTTCTTTAAGCGCCATTGCCCAGTGTGGTGTGAGTACTGCTTTCTTTCTGCTCCAAGTCTTACTTTTTTTTTTTTTTTTTTTTAGATGGAGTTTTGCTCTCCTCATCTTGTTGCCCAGGCTGGAGTTCAATGGCACAATCTTGGCTCACTGCAACCTCTGCCTCCCGGGTTCAAGTGATTCTCCTGCCTCAGCTTCCAGAGTAGCTGGGATCACAGGTGTGCACCACCATGCTGGCTAATTTTTGCATTTTTAGTAGAGACGGAGTTTCATCATGTTGGTCTTGAATAGGCAGGCGGTCTTGAACTCCTGACTTCAGGTGATCTGCCTGCCTCAGCCTCTCAAAGTGCTGGGATTAAAGGTGTGAGCCACCACACCCGGCCCCTGCCTCACATCTTTGTCCCACACATATAACTTTGGTTTTGTAAGTAAGAAAATGCTTCCTCCTTGCTGTTAATTACACTGTGAGATTCCTTTTGAGAACCCCACAAATAAAGTCAATAAAACCATCAGGAATCCTTAGACTCATTAAAATTCCAGACCCTGTGAAAACAATATTTCCCGTTGAATGTTAACATGAACCAAGTGATGAGCTGAGAGTGAAGCGTGAGGGTGGGATGAGCGCGTTTGGACATTAACAGCACGATGTGTACAGGAGGCGCATCTCATGTGGACACTCACTTGTCCATGTGACACTTCTGCCTTCCTGACATGCACTGGTGAATACCACGAGTGTGTGTCGTGGCAAGCCCGCACCATGGAGCAGGCGCAGGGGGCTGACCGTGCTGGGTCACTGCAGTGAAAAGTCATGTGAAAAAAAGCTACCATCCATTTCATTTTTTTCACTTCTCACCTTGAACTCAGCTTTGTGACCGCTCTGTGAAAACAAAACCAACATGGATACCCTGCCACAGAATTGCCATGTGTTAAAAGATTCCACAGAGGTGTTACTGGACAGCAAACAGTGTTTTTAGAAAGGGCCTTTGCTCCCTGTTGGTGGCAAAATGAACGTTCCCTTAGGAGGGCAGATCCCTTTTCTCACAAGGCCAGAGGATGGGGATGAGGAAGGGGGTTGACGGTCTGACTGGGATTTATGCCGGTGGAGTGCAGTCAAGTTGCGCTTATGAAGGCCTTATGCTCCCTCAGGTTGGAGCACGGGGCGAGCCAAGGAGGCTCTGTGGATGCACTAAACTACAGGGACCCTTCTTTTATACAAGATTGAATATTTATCATTAGGTCTGATATAGCAGAAAGACTCCTGGATTTGGAATCGGAAACTCTGGACGAGAAGACCCTTATTTAGTCACTGTATGGGAGGACTATCCCAGGTTCAGGGCTGAGGCCCATACAAGAAAAGACAGATCAAGAAGAGAAAAGCACACACGTTCAGTTAATCTAATCTAAGTTTTACGTGACACGGGAGCCTTCGTAAGGAAATGAAGACCCAAAGAAACAGCTCAGCCTGGCTTCTTTTGTATAGCAGGTTTGATGAAGGGTGGCCAGGTGCGCGGAAAGGTGACTGGGGAAGGAGTGTGATCTGACGGTAATAAACCAGGGGAAACTGAGCAAGGCCTGTTTGTTCCGCCTCTTCTCTGTGGTCCTGTTTTCAGAAATAAGGATGTTTCCTTTCTCCAGGTCTAGGAGGGCACCGCTCACAGGAGGATCCTAGGATGACCTGCTTCACGTGAAGGTCAGAAGATCCTGGGGTTTATGACCTGATTCAGGAGGAAAGGCAACGGAAAAGGTGAGAAAGAGCTTCCTGCGTGTGCCATCTCAGATTCTTTCAGCTTAAGATGTTCATTGCGTCAAGTTACCACATTTTGGGGTAGCATATCCTGAACCCTGTCATTACTTACCCATTCTGAGCATAAAGCTGTCTTTTGTAAAATGCGGGTAATATCTCACACCTTACAGGACAGTTTAATCAGAGGAATACGTAAAAGTGCCTATGCAGGTACCTGGAGCATAGTACGTGCTCAATAAATGTTTTTGCTCTCAATCTAATTTAAAAATTAATTATATAGGTGTAATCCTTGCATGGTTCTTATTTTTTAAGTTTGACTCCACAAGGGGGTTGTAGCATTCTTCATGGTAAGGACCCTAGATTGCCTTTTGTTGAAAAGCCAACAGCAGCAAGTGAAAGGAATCACTATACCTTAAATTTTTTGTCAAATGAATGTCACTGGTTTCTAAAAGTACTTAAAAAACGCTGATAGTACACAACTCCTTCCTAGCTCTGGAGACATCCTGGAGTTTGCCCTTATGACTCAACTAAGAAGACCCCTCAGGACGGAGGGTGGGACAGCTGGGCTGAAGTTGGGAACTGAGAGAGTGATGGAGAAACCCCTCCCCATTCTGTGCTCTAGGACAGGGGCCAGGGCACACGTGCTGCTCTTGTTCATTGCCTCGCTGGCCAGCAGGCTGCCCCTTGCCCTCGCTTTCAATACACTAGCACCTGTGCAGGAAAACAGAAGAAAAGAACGCACATTCTTCAGGCTTTTGTGATCCCTTCTGTGTTCATTCGCATGAACTACAGAACTACAGCTGGGAAAATCCCCATGGCTATGCATGCAAAGGTGTGCGCACAGGCGACTCCTTCCGGGGTACTAGCTGGAACAACAAACACTATGTTATTTGTTCTCTGAGGTCCACGTGGTTGAACCTGAGTCTGAGAAAGCATCTTGTCTGATGGGTTCACCCAGAAGCATCTCAGGTGAGCACAGAAAAATCCTGACATCAGGACCATCTGTGCTGCATTGCCTTGAGCAACCGGTCACCCTGAGTGTGGTGGACACTGGATTTACTCTGGTTATTGAGGCACGGCTTTCCTCTTGCTCTCTTTAATATAACTTCCTTCCTTCACTAAAAATGAGGTTGAGAAAGTATGTTGAGGCTTAAATATTTCAACAAGATCAAGCACCCAAAGCCAGGAGCTTCCCAGTGTTTCTGAAGCCTTTTCCACTTTTCCAGAAGCAATCCCTTTTTCTATTGACTGTCATTCATTAAAACATTAAAACCCTGTCAACGTCACCGCTTCTGTTTTGAATCTTCCAGGCCTGGGTTCGGTAAACTATTTTCAATTCATTGACTGTTAATCGTTCCTTTATCTGCATGTTCAGAGCATTTGCTGTGTTCCTTTTATGTGCTAGTCACTGAATTTTACAGATGAACAAATGAAGCTTGGAGGATAATAACTTCTCCAATGGCAGCTGCTAGGAAACAGAGCTGGGATTTGAAAGAAGCTACGCAGGCTTTCAGTCTCATGCATTTTATTCAATACTTAATTTCAACATCTGGCAAAACTGGAAAACTGATGATAATCTACCTGTAATTAGGATTCTTTCACTTTTTTTTTTTTTTTGAGTCAGAGTCTTGCTCTGTTGCCCAGGCTGGAGTGCAATGGCATGATCTTGGCTCACTGCAACCTCCCCCTCCTGGATTCAAGCAATTCTCCTGCTTCAGCCCCCCTAGTGCTGGGACTACAGGCATGTGCTACCATGCCCAGCTACTTTTTGTATTTTTAGTAGAGACGAGGTTTTGCCATGTTGGCCAGGCTGGTCTCGAACTTCTGACCTTAGGTGATCTGCCTGCCTCGGCCTCCCAAAGTGCTGGGATTACAGGAGCGAGCCACCGCACCCGACCTATCCTTTCGCTCTTAAAGGAGGCTTTCCAGCTATTCCACCCAACAGGCTGCCAGCATTACCTTCCTAAATAACTTTGTCTTTATCATATCTAGGTCAACATACCATCAGTTCAGGAGGAAAAAGATAGGTTTGAGATTAGAGATTGGGACTATTGGTTCAGAGGCCAAACCTTAACTGCAATATCTCCTATATTTGTATTCATACTTGTAGGGGAAGAAACACATTTTTCTCTACTCCCTTACGTTCAGTGGTTGGGGGCCCTGTGAATTGACACAAAAAAGACTAACAAGAGAGAAAAACAGATGTAATCATGCATGCTAGCACAGGAGATCACAATGAAGTGTGACTGGAAGAGGCGTTAGAATTTGGAGCTTATATACTATCTTAGCCTGAACAAAGGAGAGTGGAATTTGGGCTTCTGAGATGGGAGGTAAGTTACAGTGAAGGGAGAAAATGTGTAATAAACAAGTGTTGTTTAATAACATGTGTTAGGCAGATAAGAGTGGCCTCAGGTGCTAAGAGTTGTCTCTGGAATATTTGTCTTCCTGGTATGGGAGAAGGAGACACCTTTGCAAATGGAAATTTATGCCCTGTTTTTAGATAGGATAGGGGATGGCAGACAGCTAATTGCCTTCAGCTCAAAACAATTCTGATGCCCAAGTGGCGTATTTTGGAGGGGCATGTTCTAGTTCCCATCATACCCAAGACCATGAATCTGCAGTCCTGCTTGTCTCAGTACACATTGCTTCCACTGTTATTTAGCTCTTTCCCAAGGCTATAAGCTATTTAAGGGGAAGAGAAGTGGTTTCTTTAGTTTTGTGTCTGTGGCATTCCCTCTTAAATGCTACTGTTTATTTAACACCCATGATATCTCATGTTCTTTACCTACATTACCCCCAGAACACTTCCAGGTAATATAAAAATCTCCATTTCACAGATGAAGACATTTAGCCTCAGAGAGATTCATTGGTTTACTCAAATCATTCTGCAAATATGTAGCGGAGGACTTAGGATTTGTTCCTAGATCTTTGTATTAGCCAGAGTTTTCCAGGGAAACAGAACCAACAGAATGTGTATTTAGGTATATAGAGAGATTTATTTTAAGGAATTGGCTCACGTGAGTACGGAGGCTGGCAGGTTCACTGTCTGTAGGGTGAGCCAGCAGGCTGAAGACTCAGGGAGGAGCCGATCCTGCAGTCCAGGTCTGAAGGCTGTCTGCTACCAAAGTCCTTCTTGCTCGTGGGAGGTCAGTCTTTTGTTCTATACAGGCCTTTGTGAACCCCCAACAGTTGAGACAGATCTAAGTTAATTTAGAAAGTTTATTTTGCTATAAAAATTAGCCAGGCATGGTGGTGGGTGCCTGTAATCCCAGCTACTTGGGAGGCTGAGACAGGAGAATCACTTGAACCTGGGAGGCAAAGGTTGCAGTGAGCCAAGATCGTGCCATTGCACTCCAGCCTAGGTGACAGAGCGAGACTCCATCTAAAAAAAAAAAAAAAGGAAAGAAAGTTTATTTTGCAAGGTTGAGAACGCATGCCTGTGACACAGCCTCAGGACATCCTGGTGGCATGTGCCTAGGGTGCTTAGAGCACAGCTTGGTTTTATACATTTTAGGGAGACCCGAGATATGAATCAACATATGTAAAACAAACGTTGATTTGGCCTGGAAATGCAGGACACCTCAGAGCAGGGAGGGGGCTTCCAGGTCACAGGTAGGTAAGAGACAAATGGCACATTCTTTTGAGTTTCTGATTAGCCTTTCCAAAGGAAACAATCAGATACGCATTTATATCAGTGAGCAGAGGGTGACTTTGAATAGAATGGGTGGCAGGTTTGCTCTAAGCAGTTCCCAGTTTGACTTCTCCCGTTAGCTTAGTGATTTTGGGGGTCCTTGATAGTTTCCATTCACATCTTCAACTGATTAGATGGGGCCCACCACATGGGGGAGGGCAATCTGCTTTACTCCAAGTCCTTCAATTTAAAGGTTAATCTCATCCAAAAGACCCTCACAGAAACATCCAGATTCATGTTAAGCCACATATCTGCACACTGTGGCCCAGCCAAGTTGACAGAAAAGTAACCATCAACATTTTCTGGTAGGAAATTTCACACTCACTTCTTTTTTATCACATCAGAGTTCTTCTCAGCATAGGTTAGTTGGTGACCTTGAGTCAAACTCAAGCCGTGCATGTTAACCTGAAGCAAAAGCCTCCACCCCCCACATCTTATGTGAAATGTGTAATCACCAATTTAAGGTCTTTGTTTACAAATAAAATTTCTAAGGGATTTTCTTTCTCTGAAAACTTTTTTTTTTTTGAGATGGAGTCCACACTGTCACCTGGCCAGTGTCTCTGGAAACTTCAAAGGCCAACCTGATGTGAGTGGTTTTAAAAAGTAGAGACATTCTCAGAGGATCCTGTCTCTGGAGCCCGCTTTAGGGACCTCTTGGTTAATTCTGGAAGACAATCTAATACCAGGAAGTAGATGAGATGAGGAGAGAGACTAGTTTTTTGTATTTAAGCAAAGCCACTTTGTTCTTACTTTCTGAAGTGAGAGAAAAGGAAAATATAAGCTGATTGACTATGGGGCAGCAATTGATAGCACGTGTAATTAAGTTTCCCTAAAGTTGCAGTTACATTTTAGCCTGCTTTAAATAGCAGTTTTACTTTCAAGGTATTTAATTTGTTTGATTAAAACCAAAAGGAAAGGCTTTAAGAAAGCTCATTTCCCAGAATGTGTTTCTGTGATTCTGGAAGCTTTTCTTGGTGGGGCTGAGATCAGAAGCAGAGCCGTAAGATCAGCGGAATGGTGGGGAGGGGCGTGGAGCCAGAATCACACGGCGTTTGTCCTTTCGGGTCTGGCTTCTTTCACTTACCAGCATGTTTCCAGGGTTCGTCCATGTTGTAGCCTGTGTCAGAACTTCATTCCTTTTTATGGCTGAATAATATCCCATTGTAAGGATACATTTATTTATGCATTTCTTTCTTTCTTTTCTTTTTTTTTTTTTTTAGACAGAGTCTTGCTCTATTGCCCAGGCTGGAGTGCAGTAGCTCGATCTCGGCTTACTGCAAACTCCATCTCCCAGGTTCAAGCAATTCTCTTGCCTCCGCCTCCTGAATAGCTGGGATTATAGGCATGCGCCACCACACCCAGATAATCTTTGAATTTTTAGTAGAGATGGGGTTTCACCATGTTGGTCAGGCTAGTCTCGAACTCCTGACCTCGTGATCCACCTGCCTTAGACTCCCAAAGTGCTGGGATTACAGTCATCAGCCACCAAGCCTGGCCTGCATTTATTTCTTGATCCGACTTTTTGAGAAAATTGTCACTGCTTTATTTTAAAAAGAGCATTTTTTCTCTGACTGGTGTTAAAGTGGATATTTCTTTCTGTTGAACAGGATGTGGTATATAGGTATTAGTGTAAGGCTGCTAACTAAAAGCACACAACATTCCTGTGAGTGGAACAAGAGCCTAATAAAAATCAGAATCTACCCTGAATTTCTAGATGAATTTACCTTGTGCCAAGGGCTTTAACTTTTCCCTAGACTCCGGGAAAACCACACTCTCTGGCCTAAAGTTTGTGGGGTGAGAAAGCTTCCACTGGTGAAATGTTTGCAGCTGATTACATTTTGGGGGCATTGAAGTTTTTAAAAATAAAAAATCTAAAATGTGGTACATATACACCATGAAACACTATACAGCCATGAAAAAGAAAGAGACTATGTCTTTGCAGCAACATGGATGAAACTGGAGACCATTATCCTAAGTGAAGGAACTAACACAGAAACAGAAATCCAAACACCACATATTCTTACGTAGAAGTGGGAGCTAAACATTGAGCACACAAGGACACAAAGAAGAGAACAGCAGACACCAGGACCTACTTGAGGGTGGAAGGAGGGAGGAAGGTGAGGATCGAAAAACCACCTATTAGGTACTATTCTTATTACCTGGGCAGCAGAATAATCTTACACCAAACTCCTGTGACATGAGGTCACCTAAATAACAGACCTGCATATACACCCCTGAACCTAAAATAAAAGTTAAAAGAAAGAAAAAAGATCTAAAAAACTTTTTGACATATTAAATGTTATACCTATATATATATTTTTTGAGATGGAGTCTCACTCTGTCGCCAGGCTGGAGTGCAGTGGTGCGATCTCGGCTCACTGCAACCTCTGCCTCCCGGGTTCAAGTGATTCTCCTACCTCAGCCTCCCAAGTAGCTGGGATTACAGGGGCTTGCTACCATGCCCTGCTAATTTTTGTGTTTTTAGTCGAGATGGGGTTTCACTGTGTTGGCCAGGATGGTCTCAATCTCTTGACCTCATGATCCCCTGCCTCGGTCTCCCAAAGTGTTGGGATTACAAGCACGAGCCACTGTGCCTGGCTAAATGTTATACTTTGTTGTTTTTTTTTTTTTTATAAAAACAAAAAACTAAAATCTACACAAATGATTATTTACTCCTTAAAAACCATGTAGGACAGCTGGGCCTGGTGGCTCACGCCTGTAACTTTGAGAGGCTGAGGTGGGTGGATCCCCTGAGGTCAGAAATTAGAGGGCAGTCTGGGCAACATGGCTAAATGCTGTCTCTACTAAAAATACAAAAATCAGCTGGGCGTGGTGGCAGATGCCTGTAATCCCAGCTACTCGGGAGGCTGAGGCAGGAGAACCGCTTGCACCTGGGAGGTGGAGGTTGCAGTGAGCTGAAATCACACCACTGCACTCCAGCCTGGGCAACAGAGCAAGATTCTGTATCAAAAAAAAAAAAAAAAAAAAAAAAAGTAGGGTGATTTGAAGTTTTAAAACATTTGTGCAGAGAACATACTACAGAAGAGAACGTGACTTTTCCAATTGCAGAATGTTTTAGTCTGATTTTCTGGAAGCCCCATGACAAGCAGAGATCTTTTGTTGCTTATCCCTCTGGTTTTGTTCCGTCATTAGCTCTCAACCCACTTCATCATTATGCACTACTTCATCCATATAGTAAGTAAATTAATAATTAATAATTATCACTAATAGATTAATAAGTATATTTAAAAGAATTAATTCATAATAAAATAAACAATTCATGGCATTTGTTAATAATTTAACAATTATGCTACAGGAAATTATTCAGTAATTAATAAAAACTAAAATTTATTTCTTTTTGTCATATTTATTCATGATTCTCTGAAAGGCCTCCCCCTGGATATTCTTGATTAATCGCCAATAGGCCTTACTCTCTTGACACGCTAAGGAACCAGCCTTTTAATCCTGGAAACATTTCTTAGAGTTGACAGTCATGTTGAGAGGCACAGACTGAATGTTCCTGGAGGATGTTTATGCTCAACTCACATGGAAGTCGTCACCCGAAGTCATCTTGCCATAACCCCCATGCAGTCTAGGTGCTGGTGAATAACTAACTTTGTGTGCAAATTTACAGGACTATTTACGGTACTGGGTATTAATGGATCAGACATGAGAGGAAAGTGAGCTGTAGAGAATTTAAGTTGCAGAGAAGAACTTGAACCCAAATCCTCACCCCATAAATGCTGCTGTTTCCTTCTCCTCTGAATAGTCCGTTGACACTGGGGAGTATGGCTTTGAGGAGTAGGAGGGAACAGGGCTTTGCAAAGTTCAGTTGAAATAGCTGATGAAAGTCCTTCAGGTGTTAGGAAGCCAGGAGCCTTGTCAGACCTCCATTGACGGGAAAGCTTAGACTAGTCCATCCACGTGTCCAGAATGAACACTTTGTAGTTCACAGGGTGGGTCTGATGTTGCTGGAGGTGTGTGTTCCTGCTGCAAGTAGCTGGGCTCTGTTGCTAGAGGTGATCATCCTGTTGTGGGCTGAATGTTAAGGCCTAGGTCACATGCGCAGGTATGAGCCTCACTCCTTGGGTCTAAAATTTGAGGAATTAAAAAAATGCTTAAAAGGAGGATTCTAGGGGGTAGGAGTTCGGTATGGCCTCAGGGCCTTGGAGGCAGTGTGGGGAACCTACACCAAAGATGAGAAAGCTGTTCGTTTGTTTGTTTGTTTTGAAAGAGTCTTGCTCTGTTGCCAGGCTGGAGTGCAGTGGTGCAATTTCATCTCACTGCAACCTCCGCCTTCTGGGTTCAAGCGATTCTCCTGCCTCAACCTCCCGAGTAGCTGGGATTACAGGTACCCGCCACTGTGCCAGGCTAATTTTTGCATTTTTAGTAGAGATGGGGTTTCACCATGTTGCCCAGGCTGGTCTCAAACTTCTGACCTCAGGTGATCCGTGTGCCTGGGCCTCCCAAAGTGCTGGGATTACAGGCGTGAGGCACTGCAACTGGCTGAAAGCTGGATCTTCTAAGGCAGAAAATTCGGAATTCTGTTTGCTGTCCCATAACATTGGCAACATTTCGGTTAAATGGGTCAAGACTGCATTGGCTGTGTAGCTGGGGAGGTAGGCTGGGTGAGGCAGCAAGGAGGGGAGGATATTAGAAACAGAAGGAGGAAGAGGCACCTCTCCCTACAACCATGCTGAGGTCAATAGGCCTAAAGGGACAGAGCTCCGTGACAGGGCCCACCTCCCCTCCTCAGCACTGGGGGCACGAGGGATTTCCCAAAGCAGATACCTTTTTGTGGCTCTTTTAATATTTCAAGGTCAAACAAGAGAGTGCACCTGTGCCTCTACACAAAGAGAAGTTCAATACGTGCTGCCTCTTTCATGCTCTCTCTTCTGCCCACGGTGTGTCGGAGGTTCTAGTGCTGTGGAAATTCCCCTGGCCTCCCACCAGCATTTAGCTTATGACTATCTGCGTCTGAAGTTTTCGTCTCTGTTACCATGCTCCGCCTTGGATCCTGTCGAAACACCAGAACATACGACCTGATGTTAATAGGTGCCCAAATCATAAGGTTAAAAAATTTTATGGAGAAATTTCTAGAAAAGTGACTCATCAAAAATTGCAAGGAGGGGCTTCCTAAAAGAGATTAAACTGGCTGGGCGCGGTGGCTCACGCCCGTAATCCCAACACTTTGGGAGGCTGAGGCGGGCCGATCACGAGGTCAAGAGATCAAGACCAGCCTGGCCAACATGATGAAACCCCATCTCTACTAAAAATACAAAAAAATTAGCTGGGCGTGGTGGCGTGCGCCTGTAGTCCCAGCTACTTGGGAGGCTAAGGCAGGAGAATTGCATGAACCCGGGAGGCGGAGGTTGCAGTGAGCCGAGGTCGCGCCACTGCACGCCAGCCTGGCGCCTGGTGACAGAGTGAGACTCTATCTCAACAACAACAAAAAAAAGAGATGAAACTGAAATTTACCTGTGGGGCAGACTGTTCCCGCTTGACTGGGTCCTCATCACTAACTAGGCGTCAGCTGTACATGCTTGTGTAAGGAACCAGTCTCCTGGTTCCTTTTTTTATGGTACCCACGGGAGGTGGCACAAAGCAGGAAGGAGTGATCCCCGGCCCCACACGGACTGAGAGTGAGCTCCACTGCAACCCGCGGGCACCCAGCACTCGCCGGCTCCTGTTGCTGTCAGGCTGTATTCTTCTTTGTGCAGGTGTTTCTAAGAGCTGGAACGCTCCTGGTGGCATTGTGCAGGAAGGACAAACAGAATCACCCGCCACGCTGGAGGACAGAATGGCGCCAGGGCGAGCTCTGGCCCAGTGCCCTGTGGCGTGGACCTCTGGGGCCCTCGGCAGACGCATGTCCCCACCAATTCAGATGGCTGCAGGGGCCAGGAAGGCGACACAGAGGACTAAAGGAGACCGTGGGCATCGGCAAATTGGAGACTGTGAGCTCCAGTTAGAGGAAGGAGCTGTGTCTTAAGCCATTTTGTGTTACTTATTATAAAGGAATACCTGAGGCTGGTGTATATACAGAAGATGGTCTATTTAGGCTCACGATTCTGATGGTTGGAAAGTTCATGGTCAGGCGTCTGCTTCTAGGGAGGGCCTTGTGCTGCTTCCACTCAGAGTGGAAAGTGGAGGGGAGCCGTGTGAGTGGATTACGTGGCAAGAGGAAGCAAGCGTGCTGGGAGGCGCCAGGGTGTTTTTAACAACTTGCCTCTCTTGGGAACTAATAGAGCGAGAACTCATTCATTTCCTTGAGGAGGGCACCACGACGTTCATGAAGGATCGGCCCCCATGACCCCAACACCTCCCGCCAGGCCCCACCTCCAACAGCAGGGATCACATTTCAACCGGAGATTTGGAGGGACAGCATCCCCCCTACAGCGGCTGCTGCAGAGTTCCAGTGATGGCTGACGTGCAGATCCAGAGGCTGAATGTCGTTTTCAAGAGAAGACAGAAATTTTGATTTTTTTTTAATGTAAAGTATCTCAATGGGAATATTGGTAACAGCTCATATATATTTTTTAAACTGCATGACCCAAATGAAACAGATCTGTGTGCCCGAGTTGCAACATCTGGACTATGATGTGCAGGAGGAATTGTGTGACCGGGGTCAGGAAGCAATGCTGCAGCCCATGGGAAAGGGATGGGATGGGGACTTCCCTGAATGGAGTGGGAATTCCCACTGCCAGTCCTTCTGGAAAGTAACCTGTCCTAGGACAGGAACTGAGGAATAGGGAGGCAGAGTTTGCTTCCCACGGGTGGAGGAGCTCCTTCCCTCACAGACTCTCTGGAGAGTTGGCCTGCACGGTGGGTGGGGGACAGGTGTGCTCACAGCATCCTGGTGGGGTATGCCCTGCCCCAAGGAGGCAAGCCCGGGGGCCTGACTGAACAGCGCCACAAGCAGCCCCAAGGTTCCTTGTTTTGAGCGTCCCTCCTGAAACTTCAACCCAGGCCTGGTTAAAGGGGGTAGCCCAGCTTAAGCCGGGTGTGGAGGGGGATGAGGAGGTGCAGGGGAGAAGGTGGGGAGCATGTGCCCCTTTTGCAAGGCCTCAGCTGGGGGACCCAATGGCACCAGAACAGTGGTGATCTTGAGAGTTCCAACAGCTGGGAAGCCAGCCCTGGTCACTCAGGAGGGGGGAAGAAGAGCAGACACTGGGGAACATATCCCAGAGCGCATGTGACATAGCCCAGGGGAACCCCCAGAAATAACAGAAAGGTGCTTTGAGGGGTCTAACTTCCTGCGTGGGCAGACGTGGAATGCATGCATTGGCTGGAATTAGAGTATTGATGGAAACTTGCCCCCTTTTTTTGTAGCCACAGATGGTTGAAGCTGGGCTCTTTGAAGAAATGACAATAGACATTTGCCTGGAGGTTTAGTGTTTACAAAGCGATCCACTAACACCATCTCTTGGAATCCTCACAACAGCAGTGGGGAGAAGGCATTGTAGGCATAATCTGTGTTACAGCTGTGGAATCTGGGGCTCACCGTTTGGACAACTTTTTGGAGGTCATGCAGCTAGTCAGACAGAGCTGATACAAACGCGGGTCTCAGAACTCTACACCGGGGTTTTCCCCTCTGCCTGGCACTCGGGGACAAGGTGAGGGGATGGGCTACCCTAGCCACTGTTATGGGTTGAATTTTGTCCTCCTAAAAGATGTGTTGAGCTATCTGGATGTGACCTATGGATGTGGCCTATTTGCAAATTGAGTCTTTACAGATGTAGCCTTATTAAGGTGAGATCACTAAGGTGGGCCTTAATCCAAAAGACTGGTGTCCTCATAAGAAAAGGGAAATTTTGCTAGGCATGGTGGCTCATGCCTGTAATCTTAGAATTTTGAGAGGCCAAGACAGGAGGTTTGCTTGAGGCCGGGAGTTTGAGACCAGCCAGCAACATAGCCAGACTGCATCTCTACAATTAGAAAAACAAATTTTTAATTACCAGGGTGTGGTGGCTGGCATATGCCTGCGATTTCAGCTACTCAGGAGGCTGAGGCAGGAGGATTGCTGGAGCCCAGG